CTTATGGAAAACTAGATTTGAAAGGTTAGAGAACTCATGGAAGTCACAGCTAGTAATAGAAAGGTGAAGGGTACGATTTTAGTTTGTGCCCTTTCCTTCTGCCTCCAGCATCAGCTGTAAGTCTCCAGCCCAGTGCACATTTTTGTTTTTTGTGGTTCTGGGGTTTGAATCCAGGATCTTGAGCATGCTAGGCAAATGCTCCACCACTAAGCTACACTGCCAGCCCCACATTAATTTTATTTTTTTTAAAGAGTTTATTAGGAAAGGAATGCACTTTCAGTAGACTGAAAGCAGGTTGTCACTGGAGTGAGACTGAGAATGACCCCTATATTTATTTTTTAAATAAAAATTTTATTGAAGTATACCATATCTAGAGAAAAATATAAAAATTTGAAGCACTGGGCTGTGGATATGTCTTGGTGATAAACCACTTGACTTGCATTGCCTTGCATGTGGGAACGCCGAAGTTTGATGCCCAGCACTTCAAGGAGAAAAAATTTTTAAGTGCAGCTCAATGAATCTGCACAAAGTAACACACCTGTCTAACCAAATCAAGAAACAAAACAAGCCAGGTGACAGTGGCTCACTCCTATAATCCTAGGTACTCAGGAGGCAGAGATCAGGAGGATCAAGGTTTAAAGCCAGCTCAGACAAATGGTTCACAAGACTCAAAAAACCCATCATAAAAAAGCACTGGTAGTGGAGTGCCTCAAGGTGTAGGTCTGAGTTCAAACCCCAATACTGGAAAAAAATAAATAAAAGAGACAAAACAATATAGATTCCCTAGAATCTCCTCCTGTATTTAGGCACAGCCCTTTTTAACTTAGGAACTCTAAATAGAGGTACTCAGAGGAGCCTAATGTTCAGGGGTCCTTAACTCAGGGTTCATGTGGGCTTCTGAGAGCCATAAATGCCCTGAAATTATAAACAAACCTTTCATAAGGAAAGGAGGCAGTGCCTTCATCAGATTCTTCCAAAGCTACTCATGAAGACTGACTTATGGGGAATTCATCCATTCATTCATCATTTAAATCAGAATGCAGTAACAATGGCTGTCATTTGAGAACTTCATGTACCAGTTGCTATGCTAAGCTTTTTACATGTACTATCTCTAACCTTTCAAAAACTCCGAAATATAAATACCATAATTTTCATTTTTGCTGTTATGGGCACTGAAGGTCAGAATAAAGTGACTTACCCAGTAACACACTTTAATTACATGACTATTTGCAAAAGCTAGTCTTCAACATCAGATCTGCTACACCAAAGCCTGTGCTTCTGCTGCTAGACTGCACTGCCTTCTGTAATACCAAGTTGCCTAACTTCTGCTTGAAACAAGTTAAGCTTGAAATACCAGGCTGAACAGGAAGTGAAAGAGTGAAGTCAAAAGCCCAGACTTAAAAAAAAAAAAAACACCAAAAAACCAACCAACAACTCCCTCCAACCCAATGGGAACTCATGGAGAAGGTGAAAGCACTGCCTTTAAAAGATGCACTTTGCCTTCTACAGGTGTGGCCTCTTTGTAGGTTTTTTCAAGTAGGAGTTATTATCTAACCACAAACCAACTGTCTGTGATTACGCTGCATTTTAGAGGCTATCTATGATTGGTCGATCACAGAATTTAAAGAAAAAACCCAAACAACCAAGGGTTGTTACAGAAAGAAAGATAAACCTTCCTTGTAAAAGAAAACTCCAACTGGAGTTGGAGATTAGGTCCTGATACCCAGTCCTAGGGTAAAACCATTATCATACCTCAGAAACTGGTATTATTGTTAATTCTCCACCAAGAAATCAGTCCCTATTTTAAGTAAAAGATAGGACATAAAAAGATGTCAAGGCTATGCAAAGGTGCTTTGTAAACTACAAAGGATTACAAAAATGCTAGTAACTATACTTATTTATAGTTTAAGATTCAATTAAAAAATTTAATCTCTAAGTAGAAAGAAACATTTGCCTGTTTACAAAGGCTATTCCAGGTGCAGGTAGAAGTGACAGGAACAGCCACAATCCTGATACCTGTTTTCTTAATAATTGGGTCACAGGCAGTCAGTGTTTCTTGTTGCCTGCATTTCCCTCCGCTGTCTCACTGAACAGCTAAGTAGACTGTATCCTCAGGCATACAAAACACCCACACAGGAAAAGAAAAAAGTGGGCTGGAAGGCTACTTATAAAAGAAACCACGATCTCATGTTATCATCTGAAAGATCAGTGAGTCTGGGATGCATACCAGTTGATAAGTGAAAAAAATTATCTCAATTAATACTTTTTTATGTACAATACAGCAGAATAGATAGCATTAAAATTTTAGAGAACACGAAATGCTGAAACTCCTATGATTCAGTCATTTTTTTCCCTCAGCAATAGCTTCTATATTAGAGAGTATCATTTAATAGATAAGCCTGAGCTGGGTGCTGGTGGCTTACAACTGTAATCCTAGCTATTCAGCAGGCTGAGATAGGCAGGATCAAAGTTTGAAACCAGCCCAGGCAAATAGTTGGCAAGACCCTATCTCAAAAAAACCCATCACAAAAAAGGGCTGGTGGAATGGCTTAAGGTGTAGACCCTGTGTTTAAACCCTAGTACAAAAAAAAACAAAAACAAGATAACCAGAGCAAAGTGGACTGGAGGTTGTGGCTCAACAGGTAGAGCTCCTGCTATGCAAGCACAAGGTTGAGTTTAAAACCCCAGTCCCACCAAAAGAAAAAAAGATAAGCCTGAAAAATATGTTTTAAATTTTATACCCCCTATTTTATGCCCCTAAAAGAAAGCACTATAGCACTATTCACAGATCCACCAAAGCAGCAATTTAGGATTTTCAGGGTTTTTTGTTGAAACTCACTTTATTAAAAAAAAAAAGTCATGAACAATAAATTACAATCATTTTCCCCCTTTTATAAATTCTTCATAAAATATATTTGACAATTTTAAAAGAAAATTTCAAAAGTTGCTTTCATTTCTGAAGTGCTGATGACTTATTTTTTTGACTATTTTGTCATGCTGGTGAATTATTTTGTAGCTGCTACAATAGTTTGATTGATAACATTTTACAATTAAAAACAACAAAGAAAAGAAACAGACCAGCAGAAAGAACTATTCTGTGTGCTATTTATCTGACACTTAACATTTACTTCATCATACTGACAAAGTATCCCTTAGCACCAAAAATCTACAGGAACCCCATCTTTCTATGACATCTAGTGCAAAATAACATTCTAGGAACTAACTGTACAATCCTATATTTTAACTGGACACAGCTGCCTATAAGCTTATTTGAAATATTTGGTCTTTTTTTCAATTAAGACAAATTTCATCAAACACTATAAACCATGGCAAGAGACTCTATGAGGAGTAACTGTTTATTGAGTACCTATTATGGGCAAGGCACTAATGCACAGATTCTTGATTTCATTTTCCTCTAGCAAATATCTAAAATTTCCAAGTATTGCTGATCATCTTTCACTTCTTACACCCGACTGGAAAAGGCATGTGGCCAAATGCCATTTTTTTGTTATTTTATCAACTAAACTTTAGTGCCGAGCACACAGTAGGTACTTAATAAATACCTCTGGACTTCTGAGCAAAGATAGACAAAAAATTTATTATCATTTTGCTTGGTATCATAGGCTATTTTAGAATACAAGGACTTGAGAAAATTCCAGAAGAAACTTCCTAATCACCTCACACCCTTACCCCTCCAATGAAAGAAAGAATTCTACTTCATAGGTAAAATCTTTCAAAATAAATTATAATTGGGGTCGGGGATGTAGTTCAGTGGTAAAGCACTTGTGTAGCATGCACAGGGCTCTGGGTTTTATCTCCAGCACAGCAAACAAAATAAAAATAAATTATATTCATTAATTATCTTAAATGAGGCAGAACCAAAAGTATGCACTTGGGAAACTGTGGCTCCAAGTACACAGATATTTGAAGAGCAAACGAAATGTGGCATACCATCACCTATCCATCAATCTGCTGACGTGCCACATCACTGGCAAGACATTCTGACAATACTGAGCGATACTTTTTCTTATATGTAGTAACTCAATAAGCTTGGTCAGATCTGTGCTAAACTAATTTGGTGATCCTGAAGCTCCAGTATATTTCCACCTCTCGTTTCCAAAATAATTTTTTTTTTTTTTTTTTTTTTGGTACTGGGGATTGAACTCAAGGCCTCATTTTTGCTAGCATGTAAGTCACACTGCCAGTCCAGAAATCTTATATTTAATAGTCTGAAAGTGATATTAAGTATGCATTACATTTTTCATTTTAGAGGCTTTAATTCAATAAAAACCTATCTGTCCAAATTTTAAACTTCCAGATTAAGTAACACAGTCTAGAAATTTTACATATTCCAGGTTTTTTTGTGATGTTTTACTTTTAATTATCCTCTAAACACAATTTATTTCTTGTAATACTGGAGATCAAACCTAGGGCCTTGCACATACTAGGTAAGCACTCTGCCAGTGAGTCGTATCCCCAGTCCTTTGAACACATTTTAAATGGGGGGAAATGATGATAGCAACATTCTAAAAGTTGTGGAAGTTCAAAAAAAGCTGAAGAGACTAGCAAATTATCAATAATTTCAATATGCTAATACTATTGCATTTGACTTTTGGATTCTAGTACTGTATAAAGATCCTTGTGGATTGGGGATTAACTCAGGGCAGAGTGTTTGCCCAGTATGTGCAAGGCCCTGGGTTCAATCCCCCACCTTGAAAAGAAAATTAGTGCTTTATAAAGATTAACCTAGATACAACGTAAAATCTATTTAAAGCTATTGATGTGTTTTAGGAAAGCACTTTCCTTAGATTTTATCTGCCTGCATTTACAGGAAAACAAACTGGCGACAACCACACAGTTAAAATTAAACTAATTTCAGGAGGAATAATTGTCTCTTGGTTCTTGACACAGACAATACCAAGTAATCCTATAAAACTGACAATTTTTCTAATAGAAAAGCAGTTGATACCACAGTATTTTATCCATTTGCCAGACTGCATATGTATTATCTCCCACTTTAGAAAAAAGTGACCAATATTTAAGACAACTATTATCACTATCATTACTGTCTCAAATGAGACAGGAGAAAATAGCATCAGTGCCAAAATGAAAGGAACTCCAGTGATCCAACAAGAGACTATAGCAGGGAAGGCAATGCGAGGGTAGAGCTCATTTGGTTTCTTAAACTTTATGCTCAGGCTTAGACAAAGTCTTAAAACCAATATTAATATATCAAGTACTATAGTTCATTTATAGCAATGTTTTCAGAAACCGAAGAATCAGGCTGTAGATGCTCAAGTATAGACATGTCCCAGTGCAGTGGTTTGCCTAGTGCAGTTAACCTAGTGCAGTTACCCAATAAGGTATGACTGAACCATCAACGTCCTTGCCAACCTGCTACCTACCAAATGACTGCATGACTAACTCAACTCTAGTAGCTATAGGACACTGGAGAATTCAAACATGATCCAGCAGCTCTGAATTGCTTTAACTTCAATTACGTTTAACCAGTAATTTTACAGCCTCCAAAATGATGCCTTTGAAAAAACCTGTATAATATTACTAACAAAACAGAACAAAAACCCCTTAGTATGTTTTCATTTGAGGGAGGGACAGGGAAGGAAGATAAGGTAAGGTTTGTTTATTTTTCATCACTGATTTCACCAGCAAATCTCAAAAACCCAAACCTATATCAAATAATTTAAACAGAAGTGGCATTTTTTTCATATGGAATGCAAAATGCACACATTCACATACTTACATATACATAAATATATACATATGTTTCCTTTACAAAGCTTCAAAGGTTGCATTACCAGCATGCAAACCTCTTCCTCCATGGAAATGCCTAATACTGACAAGGAATGTCAAAAATACTTAAGAAACATATTTCAGAAAACTGGACTCTCTTCTTGGCTCTTAAGAGAATTTTCCTGCCAAACTTCTACCAATGATCATTAAAAAAAAATTTACACCCACATTGGTAATACACATTCAAAACATACTAATAAAATGGCCTGCTTAGATTAAGAAAAATGAGGAAAAAAAACTACCCCATAATAAAACCTAAACCCTTAGAATGTGGAGTTTAGCTTTTTGTATTCTTTTTCAGCCACATAATGTTGCATCACTGTTAAATCAGAAGCAGCATATCATCCAAGATACTTGCAAATAATACGTCACGTTTCCCAGCTGCTATCTTTAAATGCAATTTGTACTAATCTGAGTTCTAGTTCAAAAGCATCTGGACGATCCTGAGGGTTTGCAGCCAGCATTTCCTTAATCAATTGTTTCATTCGCCCATTCATAGTCTTTTTCTTCACAGGAATGAGAAGTTCCATTTTGGGATTTTCCAGAAGTGCCTCCCCAACAGGCACAATTTCAGTTCCTTGTTTTACATAACTCCCCAAAAGTTCCTTCTTTGTTTCTGTGTCTATGAATGTGATCCTTTCCAGCATTGCCCAGATGATAATCCCCAGAGCAAAGATGTCAGCTTTCGCTGTGTAGTGTCCTTCCCATACTTCAGGAGCCATGTAGAAATCTGTTCCACAGGCTGTGGAAAGGAAACACTTGTTTACACTGACAGGTTCTTCTGGATTCTGCCCAGATGCTGAACAAACTTTACTTAAGCCAAAGTCAGCCACTTTCAGTGTGGGTTCCAAGTCACTGGTATCCAACCTGCTTTGAGAAATCAGGATGTTATCAGGCTTCAGATCTCGGTGGATGATCTGGTTTTTATGCAAGAAAGCCAGGGCACTGCTTAGCTGAAGCATGAAGCTGGTGTTAGTTTTACGATTGGGTTTCCTGGACAACAGATACTCATTCATATCTCCTCCGTCACAAAAATCCATCACAAACCACAAATAATAGGCGCTTCTGGGATCAAAGGCAATTTCTCCTTTTAATGAAGTCTCTACAAGCTATAAGGAAAAAAAAAAGATTACAATCATCTACACACATATATACATATATAGAAAAAGAATAACTGATGCAAAAGTTAAGTCAGTCTCTTGTTATTTTTTTTGTGGTGCTGGGGATTGAACCCAGGGTCCTGCACATGCTAGGCAAGTGCTCTACACAGATATGCCACCAATCCCAAGTGTCTAGTTTTAAGTGGAAACTCTATGAATATTTTATGTGATCAGTGCTTTCATATGTGCATTTTAAACTTCCACACTTCAAAATGTCACTTTGTCCCTAATGAATATATACTACATCTCCAAGTCAAGAACTAAAATTTTATTTAAAAATAGCTTTATCTTGAAAAGTATCCAATTGGCCTACATGTGTTTCTACATATGTGTTTTTTTGTTTTGTTTTTTGGTAGGACTGGAGTTGGAACTCAGGGTTTCACGATTGCAAAGCAGGTGAAGGGTCACACCTCTAGCCCTGCACATGTGTCAATGGAACTGAACTCTACTCATCACCTAGCTCATCATTTCATTTCATGAAAAGACTAAAATATATGTATACAGCGCTTTAAAAACATATGTTGTATAGTGTCCTTTTCAGACCTATGGGTTGAACAACAAAAGAAATCGGAGTAAATTGATAACTTTACATTTATATCTACTGGTACTTCCTCTTGGCATGTTGGTGGGCAGCAGAAAGATATCATGCCACCATCTCCCCACATGGTACAGGGCAGCAATCACAATGGTCTACAGATGTCTCTTTTTCCCTTGCTGTATGGTGTGTCAGAGAGATGGAGAAAATGAAAGATCAGAAAGGTACAGATCAGGTCAGACGTGGTGGCTCACATCTGTAATCCCAGCTACTTAGGAGACAGATCAGGAGGATCATGGTTTGAGGCTAGCACAGGTAAAATGTTAGTGAGATCCCATCTCAATCAATAAGCTAGGTGTGGTAGTGCATGCCTGTCACCCCAGCTACTTGGGAGGTATAGTTAGGAGGATTACAATCTGAGGCCTGCCTGGGTTAAAATACGAAAATTTATCAAAAAATAATTAAAGGGCTGGGGGTGTGGCTCAAGTGGTAGAGCCCCTGCCTAGCAAGCACAAGACCCTGAGTTCAAAATCCCATTAATGCCAAAAAGAAGTTTTAGAGAAAGGTCAAACTGCAAATATTTTAGACTTGACAAACCACATATGATCTGTCTCATACTTTTAATCTTTTCCTTTTTTTTTTTTTAACAAACCTGAAAAAAAAAAATGTAAAAACTATTTTTCAGTATCCAGACTGTATGAATACAGCCATGGTCCCTAACTGAGAGCTTCAGAAATACAGTACCCAATCTGTTTATTTTATGGTGTAGAAAATATTAGCCATTGTTCTCTTGCCTAAAGTCCTTCAACAGCTTCCCTGTCCTTTTAGAAAACAGTCTCAGCTCTTTAACATGGATAGTGTGATCTTGTTTGCTCAGACTCCTATGGACCCTTCTAGCCTCATCTAAAACAGCTCTTTGTACACTAGAGTCTTACCACCTTCTTTTAATTCTAAAATGTTAAAAATGAGTCATACCTTTTGCTTTAAGACTTTTGTATGCACAGTCCTCTGCTTGGGAATTTTTTTTTTTTCAGTCCTGGGGTTTGAATTTAGGGCCTGAGCTTGCTAGGCAGGTGTTCTGCCACTTCAGCCCAACTGAGAAATTTTTCTCAACACTTATCTAGCTAATACCTGATACCTGTTGACTCTACAAGTTGCAGTTGAAACAGTTAGTATTTTTTTTTTTTCTTGCAGTACTGGGGTTTGAACTCAGGGCCTTATGCTTGCTGCCTGGGCATACTACTTGAGCCACTCCCCTATCTCCAGTTCATAATTTTTTTTTTTCTGGTGGTACTGGCCTTTGAACTCAGGGCTTTTAACTTGCTAGGCAGGCCAGGCACACTACCACTTGAGCCATTCTGCCAGCCCATTTTTGTGCTGGATATTTTCGAGATAGCATCATGTGAACTATTTGCTGGGGCTGGCCTCAAACCTTGATCCTCCTCATCTCTACTTTCTGCATAGCTAGGATTACAGATGTGAGCCATTGGCACTCTGTCCCAGTTCATAATTCTTGAACCCCGAGATCACATCAGGTTCCCTATTATATGCTCCTATGTCATCCTATAATTCTCAGCCATGACACTTGCTCCAAGTATACAGACTGACCACTAGGTTCCTATGCTTGAGATTGTGTCCCCTATTAATTATTTGTTTTACATTTTTTTCCTAGGTCAGGTTTTTAACTATCAGGAACTGATTTAATGATTAAAACCGAGAACAAGGAAGAATATGTCTAGAAAAACATTAAGAAAAATAAAAATTTGTACAGGCAATGGAAAATACCACAGTGGTCACACTATAGATTTGTCTTTTTTTTTTTTTTTTGATGGTACTGGGATTTGAACTCAGGGCCTCATGCTTGCTAGGCAGGAATTCTACCACTTGAGCCATTTTTGCCAGCCCAGATTTGTTTGTCCTTACTTACTAGCCATATAAATTTACAGAAGGCCCTTACTAAATGTAATGAATGTCTGGCCAATTAAATAAATCCATAGAAAAGACTATTCTAACACAGTACTTCCTATGTATCTAGTTTTGTTTCTGCATCATCTCTGATTTTGACAACACCTATGGAAGGCAGAAATTAGTACCTCAACATATGAAGAAACAGATGTACTGGGAAAAGTTGGTTTATTTATTCAAGGTTATTCTGATGGCAAAAAGTGCCATAAATCAAATACAGATCTACCATGCTTTAAAAGATGAAAGAGATTTTACTAAACAGAAAGTAATTTAAATACAAAAATTAATTGAATCAAATCTAGTAGTACTTTATATCTTAAACTCTGAATGACCAGCTAATGCCTACTTACTACAATTCTTGCCAGATCTGGACTCAGCACTGAGTCAAACATTTAAATGTCTTTGCTTTTCCTTTTAAGAGATTGTGCATCTTAGTTTCTAAAACTCAAGGCAAAGTTCAGAAAGGTTCTATTCACTTTTAAGAGGGAATGTAGTTTGTCTAGCATGCTCGAAGCACTGAGTTCAATAACCAGTACTGCAAAAGGAAAAAAAGGAATGTAGTAAGAATACTTCCAATTTTTAAAATCAGTGCAACTTATATAATAAGCACTTGTAGAAAGATAAATAATAAAATATATACAGGCTAAGTAGTTGAGTTTTATAGTTACTGTGTTAAGAGAGAAAACTTGCTGGGTGCTGATGGCTCACGCCTGTTATCCTAGCTACTCAGGAGGCAGAGATCAGGAGAATCGCGGTTCGAAGCCAGCTCAGGCACATAGTTCTCGAGACCCTATCTTGAAAATACCTAACACAAAAAGGGCTGGTGGAGTGGTTCAAGGTGTAGGCCCTGAGTTCAAGTCCTAGTACCAGAAAAAAAAAAGAGAGAGAGAGAGAAAACTTCAATGCACAGAGAGCTAAGTTGCAATATGAATTAAATTTTCATTATTGGTATTTGTTCAATATACGATGACACTTGCAAGTTTCTAATTACACAGACCAATCTGCTCCTTTGTTCTTCCCAGCCCTAGCTTTGTTGTTTTAAAAACAGACTTTTAGGGCTGGGAGTGTAGTTCAAGTCGTAGAGCACCTGCCTAGTAAGCACAAGGCTCTGAGTTCAAACCCCAGTACTGCCAAAAAAGTAAATAAACACAGACTTCCAAATGGTAAAAGTCTGATGGCAAATGCTGAATTTAGACACACTCTAAAAGAAAGCTGTTTTCTTTTCAGAGAATGATTGGCCTTAAGAAATTCTGTTCTGGCCTTTAACTAGCTATGTTTTAAGTATCTTTTATACTCAGTTGAGTATAGACCTCTAGAGGTTTTGATTTTTATAGCAGGAACTATAAAAACAAACAAATAAAAACAACAATATTTTTCTTATACTGATGCTTTCTCCAAGTCTACAGAGTATTTTTAAGCATAAGCTTCAGTTAACAGCAGTTTTAAATTCAGCTCTTAACCTACCACTTGCTAGCTAGGTGTCTTTAGATAAATTTATTATTCTAAGCCTTAGTTTCTTCATTTGTAAAGGAAATAATAATAGTACATTCCTCATAGGACTGTTTTGAGCAACTGTCTTTAAAGTTCTCAGCACAAAGCATGGAACCAACTACGAACCCAAATGTTAGCTATGAGCACTGTTAATAAGATTCAGGGCTGTGGACGTTGCTCAAGTGGTAGAGAGCTTGTTTAGCTTTCTTGAAGCCTTGGATTCAATCCCTAGTACTGAAAAAAAAAAAAAAAAAGGAAACAAACAAAAACTATTCAGATACAAAACCCCATGCTTCATGCTTCATGCAAATAACTGGAGTTTCATGGGTGAAAAATCATGTAATTCTAAAACAGTGAAGGCTTATAGGTTGTTTTTTTTTTCTTTTTTTGAGATAGAGATTGTTATGTAGTCCAGGCTGACCTCAAACTTGTGATCCTCCTGTATCAATCTCCCCAGTGCTGAGATTACAGGCATGTACCACCATGCATAGCTAAGGCTTATACTTAAAAAGCAATTTATAAAAGAGATGTTCAATTACCTATCTGTGCTGCTAGTGGATGTGGAGTTTTTCCTTTGCTTCTATATTCAGTTTAAAAAAAAAAAACTGACTTCACAGAAGTGAACTTACTAGAATCTAGTCTCAAGCACTTTTATAACTTCTATCTTGCCCCATTCCTGTGCAGAATGGCAAGTACTATGGCATAACAGGTGACTTGTTATTTTTAGGTATAAGCATCACAAGCTTAAATAAAACCTTGTTTTAAAGCAAACATCCATTCTTGGCAGAGCTCTATTCCTATATATGCATTTAACTTATTTACTTAGGTTTCTTTCTTTCTTTCTTTTTTGAGGTTCTGGGGCTTGAACTCAGGGCCTTCACCTTAAGCCACTCCACCAGTCCTATTTTTCTGATGGGTTTTTTCGAGATAGGGTCTCTTGGACTATTTGCCCAGGCTGGCTTCAAACTACAATCCTCCTGATCTCTGCCTCCCAAGTAGCTAGGATTATAGGCATGAGTGAGACCTTAAGACAAGGTCTCATTATGTAGTCTTGGCTGGTCTTGAACTCAAGATCTTCCTGCCTCAGCCTCCCTAGTGCTGGGATTATGGACATACACCAACATACCTGGTAAACATCTGCATTTATTTTATTTTTTGTGGTACTAGGGTTTGAACTCAGGGCCTACACCTTGAGCCACTCCACGAGTCCTTTTTTCTGATGGGTTTTTTTGAGATGGGGTCTTACAAAATATATGCCTGGTCTGGGTTCGAACCTCAATCCTCCTGATCTCCTGAATAGCTAGTATTAAAGACATGAGCCACCAGTGCCTGGCTAAACATCCTAATTTAAAGGAAGAAGTTCATCTGTCCCTTTTATTCCTCTTCTTGCTGACCATTGTTACTTTCAAATCATTTCTATTTTCCATCCAAGGACACATACCTGTAAATACAGGGAAGAATTAGAGCCATGGGACATCTTTTGCACCATCCCATCTTTTTGTAGAATGCATTCCTCCAAGTGAATCACATTTGGATGTTGGCTCTTGATACTGCTTAGTGCCCAGAACTCACGAAGAGCTAGTTCAACATTTTCAGGTGCATGGCATCGAATTTTCTTCACTGCCACCCGTGCAGAGGTCTTCCTGATGACTGCTTCATATACAACACCGTAACTACCTCGGCCTACCTCCCGTATTAGATCGTACTTTGGCTGGCTACTCACCATCTTCAAGGTCAAGGTTTCTGGAAAAATCAACAAAGTGCTCTGTTGAAATTAGGTATACCTAGTGACTTGTATTTCTTCTTACATAGTTACCATCTTATTTAGTTACCATATGTTTCACTGCAGTACTTAATAATAAAGGTAACACTTAGGTAGTACTTACCATGTTATCGGGAAGGGTTTCAAGTACTTTATAATATTAAATTCATTTAATCTTCACAATAATCTTATGAGATAGGTACTATTATGTCATTTGAAAGATGAGGAAATTAAAGGGTAGAGAGGGTAAGTAAAAAGCCCAAGATCAAACAGCTAGTAATCAGTGGACCTGGGATTTGAAGCCAGGTCACCTGGCTCAGATATCCATGACTGAAACCACTAAACTCTACTGCTGCTTATACAAACTACTTGAAAATGTCACTGTTAAAAAATAAGTCCCCAAATTCACCATTTTTATTTAGTGATCATACAAAGACAAAATTTCAGCTTCTCCTTAAGGCTAACATACATACAAAAGGTAACAAAAACAAAATATCTTCACAGTTAGAAATACAAACTTGCATACAAACTGAAAGTGAACTAGATAACTCACAGAACTCAAAATGTTTAGTTTTTACTATTTAATAGTAAATGGAAATGGGATGCCGGTGGCTCCGGCCTGTAAGCCTAGCTACTCAGGAAGCAGAGATCAGGAGGATCACGGTTGGAAGCCAGCAGGGCAAATACTTCTTAAGACCCTATCTCTAAAAAAACCCATCACAAAAAAGAGCTGGTGGAGTGGTTCAAGGTGTAGGCCCTGAGTTCAAACCCCAGTACTGCAAAAAAGAAAAAGAAATGGGGCCAGGTGTGGTGCACACCTGCAATCAGCATTCAGGAAGTGGAGGCAGGAGGATAGGGAATTGGAGGCCAGCCTAGGTTACATAGCAAGACCCTGTCTCAAAAAAAAAAAAAAAAAAAAAAGGAGTGGGCAAACCATACATGTTCATAATTTAACTGTTATGTTATTTCCTTGTCTTTTGTAAATAAAGTTTGTGGAGAACTGTCCCTTGAAAAGTAAAATAAGCTACTTAGACTATAGGTATCTTTTTGTTGTTGCTGAGCAATAGCTATTTAGTTCTAGGTCATTTTTTGCCAAGAAACCCACCCTACACATGGAGGGGAATTCTCTGACCAGGTTCTTTGGGATTCGACATGATAAATGATTTAAAGGCAGGAGCGAGGGCCCCACAGGGAACTGCGCATGCGGTGAAGGGAGAGTGTCAGGTATGTTTCCTTACTGGTGGACAGATTGTCACCGCGGGCAAGCGAGCATCCTCAGACTGTCCAATATTGACACTGCACCATCAGGGAAGCAGAAGCCAGGGGCCCTAGATAGAGCTTGAGAAAGTGGGAACTGCTACTTTAAGTCCACAGGACAGATGAATAATAGTAATAATAACGAGCGCTTCTGAGACTGCTGCGGGTCCCACTTCCTCCAATGGCATCACCTTCCAACTCCCGTTGCTTCCTGCCACCGAGTCCGAGCGAGCAGGCTTCCTGCAAAGCCCAGCGCCGGCGCGTTTCCCGGCGGCCCCCCCGGGAAACTCTTCCGCCCCGCTTTCCTTCCTCCGCGAGGACCCCAACACAGCCCGCCATCACCCTGTGCGCACCTGGGAGCCCTACGACGGCTTTACCCCGGCTCTCCCGCCCGCCGCGCTCACCCAGCGCGGGACACCGGCCGGGTGGCCCGGGCCATGCACCTGTCAGAGCCCGGGCAGGGCCGGTGGCGGCGGCCAGCGACACGGGCCGCGCTCCCTACCCGAGTACCCGCCCTCCTGCTCCGGCCGCGGCCAGAGGAAACCACGGGGGACCCCCCGAGGCCCTTCACTCCGGATTCGCTTCCGCCGCGGCCTCAACTCCTCGGGGCTTGCAGGCGGAGGCCCGGGCCCCGGGAGTGGCCCCGGCGGGAAGCAGAGGCGGAGGCCGCAGCCCGGGCCGGTGGCCTGAGAAGCGCCGGGCCTTCCCCAGGATGACTTCGCTGACAGGTCTGTGACAGGCCTGCTGGGGACCAAGGGACATGCAAGGCGGTCGGCTCTTGCAGCACCACGTCGGTGCCACGACGAAGGGCCGGATTTACCTCAGGGCAGCAGCCGCCGCTTCTCCCTCTCATGGGCTCTGCAGGCCGCCATTATCGGACAGCTCGCGCCTCCGCCGTCGCGGCCTCCAGTCAGAGGCTGGCGCGCGCCCCCGTGGTGCGCGGACACACCCCCTCACGCCGGGCCACGCCCCCCTCCGGCTTTACGTAGCGCGTCGCCTACTGCGCGCTCCCGGCGCCCTGCTAGACGTTCTCTCTGGCAGGATGTGTTGACCCGGGAGTCGCCGGCGGTGTGCGCGTCCCGGAGCACACCACTGGCGTCCTTCCCCGCAGGGGTGGTCGGCCGGATAATCCAGAGACCCTCCCCCCCTCCAGCCTGGACTCTGTTCACCCTCAGCCGCAGCAGACGCGCATGGCCTGGAGTCCCCCAGGAAGGCTCCGCGGCGATAGACCCGAGCTGGGATGCACCCGCGCTGTGCTCCCTGCCCCCGCCGACCTACCGAGCGGCGGGCTGGCGTGCGGCGGTCGCTGGGGCTGGACGCCCGGTGCATCTTCTTCCGCGCGGGTCTGCGGTGCCTGCGGATGGCGGAACTCGGCGGCGGGCTCGCAGGGAGGTGCGGCCCGAGCTGGGAGGCTTGGCGAGCGCCCCGCCTGGAGGGAGGCTACACCTTTTGTCCGAGTCAGTGAGCCATCTTTGCGGGCGGCTCAGTTGCCGAGGCGGCGGCTCGACGCTGGGTGCGATCATCTGGGAAGACTCTGTCCCCTGCCCCGTCGGCGCGGTGGTATCTCCCTTAAAGAAGCCGGCGCCTCATTGTTCCCGGCCGCGGGGATCGGGGCTCCTGGCCCCGCTCGGCAGGGAGGGCGCGGCGGACCTGGCTGCAACGCCCCGTCTGTCAGGCCCGGAGGAGGGATCGGGATCCCGGTGGGAGGGCGCGCGGGAAGGGGCCACGGGCTGAGCCCGGCGGGCCCGGATTGACAGCCAGAACTGCGGCTCTCCGGGCCTGAGGGTCAGGGCGGGCCTCAGACCCCGGAGTCGTTCGGCTACCCCGCGGCTGTCATTCACATCCAGGCATGCTGTCACTCCGAGACCAGAACCAATCTGCCTCCCAGTCAGTTACACCGATCAGTAAGCATCCGCCAGAAACGACCCTTCCTTCCCCAGCATTGTGCACCTACTGTTTGTTAATAAGGTAGTTTTTCCTGCTCCTAGAGGTTTAGGGCATGATATACAAACTTCTGATTCTGCGGTCCAGGATCAACCATTTTATTTTGTCTTCATAGACCTCCTGAGTCTGGGATTGGGCTAGGTCTTTATATAAATGAACTCACTTAATATTAACCAAATCCCACAAGCGGAGGCTTTATTAATAACTGCTTTTACAGGGGAGGAACCCTCCTTTGATCAGAAAGTGTTGGCTTTGAATACTCACCCACTGCCCTGCTGTAAGAACCCCCAATCTTCTCCCCAAAATAAACCCCCAAAACTTGCTGGGTGTGATGGTACATCCTTATAATCCCAGCACTAGGGAGGTTTAGGCCAGCCTGGAGGTTGAGGGACACTGTCTCAAAAAAAAAAAAAAAAAAAACCTGAACCAGGCCTGGGGTTGCAGCTCAAGTGAATGCGTGAGATCCTGGGTTCAATTCTCACTACCACACACACACAAAACTCGAACCTCCCCAAAACAAAACAAAAGTCATAGGAACTCTGCCTCTCAAATTGACCACAGAACTGAGATTTGAAGTCCATAACCCCCACCCAAAGATAAGCTGACTCTGTATACAGTCTGTTAGGTGGGTTTAAGTCTTGTGGAGCCTGAAACTTAGAAAGCTTGGGATGGCCCCTTCAGGAAAAAGGTTACACTATGGCCCTGTGAACACACTGCTGGGGTGAGGAAAAGGTCGCTACAAGTGAGGAGGCCAAACTTGAGCCTCACTAGCTTCAAGGTAAATCTGTTCTTGCTTACTATTATCATGGAGAGCTCCTGGGCACAGGAACCTTGTCTGTGATTCAATCTACAGTGTCCTCAACCTGATAAGGAATCACAATACCCCTGAGGCTAGCATCTCCTACAGTGCTGGTGGGAAGGCAGAATGATGTAACATACCAAAGAAATATGGCAAAATATAGCCACGTTACATTGTGAGTTTACCTTTTCACCAGTAACCCTAAGTTAAATCCTAAACTTCTAGGAACCTGTCCTAGCAAATTTAGACAAAATACAGAAACATGTGCACAAGGCTCTTCATTATGGCATTAACAAATAGTAAAAGATTGGCAAGTGCTCACTCCCGTTGTCTAATAGTAAAGAGCTGTTGAGTAAATAATGCTAAATACGCAGGGTGGAGTACTATGACCCATAAAAAGATGTAGGGATGAATTTTTTTTGTGTGTGATTATTTTTTGGCCAGGTCTTGCTATGTAGCTCAGTCTAGCCCAGCATGAAGCCCTGAGTTCACACCCTAGTACCACCAAAAAAAAAAAAAAAAATTAGAAAAATAAAAATTAAAAAGTGGATGTATGCCAGGTGCCAGTGGCTCACACCTGTAATCCTAGCTACTCAGGAGGCAGAGATTAGGAGGATCGCAGTTTGAAGCCAGCCTGGGCAAATAGTGAGACCCTATCTCCAAAAAAACCACAAAAAAGGGCTGGTGGAGTGGCTTAAGGTGGAGGCCCTGAGTTCAAGCCCCAGTACCTTAAAAAAAAAAAAAGTGGATATATGTGAGATTGGTGGCATAATTAAAACAGAACATCATTTCAAGTGGTATGAATATTTTGTACCTCCCCAGTGACATATGGTCTAAGGGCATCTCTAACTACCTGGAACTACAGTTGTATTCATGAGCTTTTTTGTTAGCAATATTGATATTGCTATTTTGAAAGTATGACATTGTAAACCGGGTGAAGTGGTTTAAGCCTGTAATCCTAGCTATGCCGGAGTCTGACACTGGGAAGATCGAGATTCAAGGCCAGCCCTAGCAAAAAAGTTTGGGATTTTTCATCTTAACGGAAAAAACCGGTATGGTGGCACAGACCTGTCATCCCAGCACTGGTGGTAAGCTTAAAATAGGACTGGGGTCCACTTCAGCCTGGGCAAAAAGCGAAAACCTATCTCCAAAATAACTAGAGCAAAAAGGGTTGGAGGTTTGGCTCAAGTGGTAGAGCACCTGCCTCCCATCTGCAAGGCCCTGGGTTCAATCCTCAAAAAAAAAAAAAAAAAAAACTCCGGGCGAGGTGGCTCATGTCTGTAATCCTAGCTACTCAGGAGGCAGAGATCAGGAGGATGGCAGTTCAAAGCCAACTCGGGCAAATAGTTCCTGAGACCCTATCTCGAAAAAACCCTTCACAAGAAACGGCTGGTGGAGTGGCTCAAGGTATAGGCCCTGGTTCTAACCTCAGTACCAGAAGAAAAAGAAAAAGGGTTATTCTAGTAATTATAATATGAAATATGTAAAAGTCCATTAATTCATAATTATACACAAGGAAAACAACATATTTGCTACCACTGGCAAGAAGGGAAAAAACATTTTTGTGGTCTTTTTTTTTTTAATTTGTGATACTAGGAATATGAAATCAGAGCCTTGGACCTGGCAGGTGAGCGCTCTACCATTTGTGCCATACTCCTAGTCCTTCTGTTAGTTTGTTTTTCAGAGGGTATAGTGTTGACTTTGCTAAAGCTGGCCTCAAACTGTGATCCTCCTCTGGAGTAGCTGAGATTACAGTCATGTATCACCTTGCCCAGCCAAAAAAAGTAATTTTTATAGAAGAACTCCATAATAATAAACAAGAAATGATAATCTAAATAATGATGAAATAATAAATGCTCAAGGATTAGAAAGGCACAATTTTTCAAAATCCTAATGAAATAATGATCATAAAATGATGCTAAACCAATTGGGCAAAAAGTTGTTGGAGAACTTAGTTATTCAGAGTTTAGCCTAACACTGCTTGAACCCATTGAGCAAACTTAAAATTACTAAGGGTGATACAGTGCTCTCCATGAAATATTCTTGCCAACAAAAGAAAGAAATAATACAGGACCAATCAAATCAAGATCTAATTACCAGTTAATAATGGACTGGATAACGATCCCAACCAGCTAAACTCAAAATGTGGGACATCTGACAGGAACATACCCTGTTTTCTCCAGCACATTCACAGCACAAGAGGCATAAAGTGAACGTAAGATGTGAGAGCATAAAGCAAAGAGACTTGAGCTGCTGTCAAGAGATGTTGGTAAAATGGAGAGATTTAGATATGAGCCAAAAGGTGAAATTGAGATATTACTGTTCTTTTTGGTTAGGTGTGGTGATGACATATGCTTGTAAAAGTAAAAGTTTTTCAATTGAGACAATGCATTGATGCATATGGGTGAAATGAAATGAGGTGTAGGATATGCTTTAAAATCCCCCACAAACAGCACAGCAAATAAAAAAGGGGAAGATTGGCAAAATGTTGATAGTTGTTGAAATCTAATGGTGAATCTGAGATTCATTATACCAGTCTACTTTTGTATATGTTTGAATTTTTCCCAAATAAAAAGTTGGACAATCCTGTCCAAAAATGAAAGGCAAGGTTTGGCCAGGTAGAAACTTGGATGGAGCAATACTGCCTCCTGGTGGCATTTTGCATTAGTGCAGCTGCTGTCCCACTTAACTGAAGTTTTTGAGTTCACAGACATGTCAAGAGTCACGTCCTTTACCTAAGAATGTAGGAAGTGGATAATGCTAGCATACCATTTCATAGCTGAAGAAAGGGAGACTCAGGGACACTCAGTTTCCTAATAAGTCTCTGGTGGAGCAGGTCCTGGAATCTTTGAACTCCAAGTCGTAAGCCCCATAAATCACTTGAAGAGGTCACTTGGAACAAATGGGGATGCCCCCAATTAAGGTGGGTCCACAGGATGCAGGTTATCAGGGAGCAGTCTCACCTATGAACTATACATAATAAGTATAAATAGTTAATGTTCATGTTACTTGTTGTGCCAAGCTCCGTGCAAAGTGCTTGGCTCACACCTCCTAGGCATTCAGGAGGATCGAGGTTCAAAGCCAGATGGGGCATATAGTTCGCAAGACCCTATCTCGAATAGACCTAATGCAAAAAAAGGACTGGTGGAAGTGGCTTCAGTGGTAGAATGCCTGCCTAGCAAGTGTGAGGCCCTGAGTTCAAACGTCAGTATTG